GATAAGCGCGACGAGGTTCTAGTGGACAGAAGGATGCGAGATGCATCTGGCACCATAGGTGCTCAAATGCTAGGGAGCCGCGACCTAATTAACAGTCCTTCCTAGCAGCTAGGAGCAAGATGCAGTGTAATACGTAATCTGGTCTTGGAGGAGTCGTTTGTTGTCTGACATGCTCGGGCATACAAACAACTTGTGATGCTTATGCCAAATCAGAGAAGGAAAGTAGTAATCCCTTGTCTAGGAACGACGAACAGGGCCGAAAGCCCCGACTATCACGCGATGATAGCCAACAAAACTCGTGAGTACAAGTTACGTCACGCACAATTACCATTATTGAGGCTATAACAATGACAGTAAAAAAATGTTTTACACTGACCTCGACATTACGCCCAAAGCCGTCGAATAGAAACAATAATCATTGTTAAAAGTTGTCAGTTCTGAGACGGTAAACAGATTTTTCCGTTGTTACTAAACCTGCGTATTTTCACTTCCTAGTAACTGTTGTTGGACGATGTGCTGTGAAGCCGTTCATAACTGCTTATCCGAGAGAAGATATGCGGGATGTCCCTAGCCTGTCATTGTTTGCTGTTTATGTTAAAAAGCGAAACTGGTCATGATATTCAGGCCAAACTACCTGTTCATTTCAAAGTCTGACTGCATCATGCCATAGTATTGCGCACCCTTTTGTTCTAGTTAGTATTCACCCGATGCATTCAGCCCATCCCATATTTCCTCAACCACCGTATGTGCTACCTTAATCGTTTACGAGGCGATAAGTATGGTCGATTTCAAGCATTCCGACATCGTCCAAACAGTTCTAAGTGAACCACTTTTCTGTCTGTCAAAGCATTTCACAGTTGCGATCAATGACACGAGACGCGTGTGCGCTTCGAGTAAGCGGACGCGTTCATGCCAATTACTATAATTTACCACCTATGCCAATTTAAAGTCCATCCGTCATCAGACAACAGCCGTCAGAGCGTTGGAGCTGTACTTTGTCTGAATTTTCAAAGCGTCAGAAAATGAACTCTGCAAAAAGGTGTCCCACTTATCAGCTCTGTAATTTGCATTGTGCTTTTTAAATTTGTTTCACGGAGTTTGACACGAATTACTGTAGGAAAAAGTTGACTGTGTGATCGAATTTGCGGTCATAAAATTAGATAAGCGGACACGAGCTTTATATATTTTCAGTATTACTGCTTCGATCTCTCGTAAAAGAAACCAAGCCAACCAAATCTTGTTGAAGAACAGCCGGTTTAAAACTAGCAGCTAGTTTAGTTAAACGGTGAAAGCAATAAACGAATCATTTTACCGTAGAAGCAAGTATTCCTTTAATAGATGTAAGCCAGAAGTTCTGCGTAGAACAACTTGATTGCCATTGTCACAGTCTCACCCAAATCCAAGCTTTCTTGCTGTTGACAAACTGTCACAGCTAAAAATTGAAATGAAAATAAGTGCTACAAATTTTAGCGTCAGCATAAAGGTATAGGCAGATTGTGAATTTAGAAATAGTAATAGCATTGCTTAACGTTGAAATACCCTTCAGAGTGTTTCAAAATATCTTTTACTGGATATTAGTAAAGGTAGATGTATTCTCACACCACGAACAAAATAGAAACGCACTGCCACACGTACACGACTAGAGATAGCGACGGGTCACCACTGTTAACACGAAAAATTGCAAAACGCTCTATAAATTAGCAGAGGACAATTGGTTACTAAAATTTCGAGTTGCTTGTTAGCTGGTATAAAACCAACAAAGCCGCAGGATAAACGGAAAGCGGTTCCATCTTCATTGGTTCCTTCCGCTTCGCCTTTAATCGTCACGAATATGCTGCATACCGGAAGCGCTGCAGTAACGTATTTTTCTATTTCGTCTATCTAAAATATTGTTGCTAATGCACAAAACTTAAACAATAGCATTATTGACTAATGGAAAAGTCTCCTATGATTAAGGTTAAAAAAGTGCCATTTTAAAACTGCCTTCCACCAGGATCAGAATTTTCTCATGGAAACCGCCTCAGACCTTTTTCAGTTTATTGTTGGACGAAGGTCTCCAAGACTTTGCCACCATCTGTTTTCTGCCATTTTAATCTATCTTGATCCAGCGAACTTCATTTCGTTCTGCCGTCGATCTGAAAGTCTTCCTAATGACCGTTTACTATCTCTCGGAGTCCAATGATGATCGGTTCTTGTTTCAGTGTCCTGTTCATTGCTTCTTTGACATGTTTACTGAGGCTGTGACAGTAGATTCTTGTCCATTCATTTCTTTCTGTCTTTGTTATTTCTAAAACACCTTTCGACGCAGCGTTCCGTCGTCTGCAGTTTATGAATAGCTTTAAGGGTTAGGGTTCACATTTCGCATCCATAGGTTAGCACTGGGAACACTCTCGTATTTATAACTTCAAGTCTCAAGCACAAGGGCAGTTTCCTGCATAGGAACATTCTCAGCCATCAAAAAGATTTTCATGCCATTGTTATCCTGTTGATAGTCTGTTTTCTGTTTTCTTAGTCTGTTTTCTGTTGAAGACATAAGATGTAACAGATTGGTGTAGTTTTGTTAAAATCTAATTCCGTTAACTTAAATCGCGAGTCACGTATTTGCTGAACATGATCTGAATCTTCCTTTGATTCCTTTTTCAATCCTACATTGACGCTGATGCTGTTCAACTATCGCATTATTCTTCTCAGTTCTCAAACTGCATGTGGCTTAAGAGTGCCCAGTTATGTTCAGCCCCTGATTTTCGGTGTGCCTTGTTAACATTTCCTGCGACTGCCCTGAGCTGTGAATAACTTCGATCATACTGGTCGCTCTGTGGGTCGCTTCTTCAATTCTGAACTTGCTTGTCCTTCAACGTAAAGTTTCCAAATAGCAGTTGCATTCTTGTAAATCGTGGCAGTAAAATCTCTGTATCGTTTCTCGATTCCCTGGATTCTCAAGGAACGGAGATAGAGTAGGTCAAAAGATTTCTCGAAATCGATGAAATCCAAACAGAGTAAGCTGATATTCACCGCTTTGCACATACATGTACTAGAGAAAATACACAGCCAATCGCAAACCCCGGGGCAACACCAGCAAGACAGTGATGACTCACACATCGTTGCTAGGAAACGATTAAAAGGATAAAATCAGAAACCGAATAACCAGCAAATTTCTTACTGTTATCCGATGAGCGGCGAACTCCGAAATCGGGGGACTGTAGATGGTTACACAGCGATCCTGTGCGACGGATGACTTAGCAGCAACTTTTAATAGTTCCGGGCTAACACATCTGTATGACAAAACTCGGCACAACGTATCGACGTCCTTATACTTCGGCGTGAGTCCCGCTCGTATGGTGTTGTCAGAGCACGCCATGCATTCGATACAGTCTAAAATCATGAACGATAGCGAGTTATGCATTTACGGCCCCGAGAAAATGCACTTGCCACCGAAAAGGTATGCATGCGGTTCGTTAGGTCCGAGAAACACGGCCTCGCCAGGTTCCAGATAAAAATGGTTTAAAAAAAACGGCGCGAAGCAGCCGACGTCCCCCGGAAAACATCGGGACAGCCGCAAGATAAGCTTAGCATCAACAACACCAACGTTTACAACACTGTCGTCACGTATCTAAACTTGCGGATCAAGAAAAACAAACTTCAGAGTTATCAGTGAAAATTTTTCAAAAGATGGGTCGAAACGAAAAAAGATTGCTTGTCACAACTCAGTTTCAAATTACATTTGTTTAATAATTCATTCATAAAGATATCAACGTGATACATTCAATTTACACTCCACGATTTATACATCTATTGAACATTTCATAGATACAATTAATTATAAATATTCTTCATTAATCCAATCTAATTAACAACCAAATTAAACAAAAAACTTTTTAAAGCAGCGTATCAGCGCGGCGTATTGAGACGCTTCGGTGAGGCCGTTTGGACTGCTTGAAAGATCTCATTAGCAGCACTAAGTGACTAAGATCAACTGAATGGAAAGTAAACTAAACCATCGTTTAAACTCCAATCGATGTAGTCAACTAAAACAAGATCAGCTTATTTAATTTGTAGCTATGTTACACGCAACTCTGTTATAAAACAACGGAAGTACCGCTAAATGGTGATGAAACAGGACACATAATGAGGCTTTGCGAAGTACCATCCGGCAATTCGGTCTGTGCCTGTTGTTTCACACGTGTTAGCATAGTGGGCAGTACATGGCATAAAGCTGAGTGAGCTACTGTACCTCACTTTACTACGTATTATTCGTATTTTGCAAACGGGATGGAGACAAGGATTTGTGAATTACATATATTCCGATGAGCTACTACAACAACGCGCTGGATTAAGATCCCGTAGAGCGGCGATCGCTAATAAAATAAAAAACGCAGACCTGTGAAATTCACAAATTCAACAACAGCTTCATATTGTGCTCATTTATGTAATGAGATGGGTTAAGCGCAAATGACGATACCGCCAGACATTATTAGATACATTCGATATATAGGACTACATTGCGACACTACAACGGAAATCGTCGAAATTCACGCCATGACAAATGCATATATTGTTATGAAATAAATCAGAAATGAATTGCCTATCGCTGC